ATATATACAGTATATGTGAAGTACTGCTCAGTAATATATGATAAAATGACAGTGCTTTAACTAAATTAATGTGCATCAAATAAACGCGTAGTTATTATTATGCACATATATGCCGATGATTTGGCAGTCACAATAAATAAATGATTAATTCAAGTTAAAAAAAATTTTTTTTCTGGTTATACATTATTTTGGATTCTGGCCCTTATTGATAGACATACTTTGCGTTATAACAGCATGCATAGCATTTATTCCAATGGAACAAAATAAAAACTATGCCGTGCATATCTTGAATAGAAAACAAACAAAAAAATAACATTTTTGCACTTTATTACCAAATGTCCCTTTCCATGACTCTGTTTTATTTCACATGTGTATTGTAGATATGCTCTGCATACAACGTTTTTCTTATTTGTTTTTGTTTTTCAGATTTATTTTTCTTCTCACATCTTCCAACTCTGAACCTATTTATCTCCCTTCACCACATTCCAACAAGAGTCTGATTCATTTGGACTTACAGGGAATAGCATTCAAACGGCATAAAAGTCAGTCTATGTATGTTTGCCAGACAGCAAATGCAGAAAATTATGCTGTAGAAAACATCTTTTCCTTGCAACAGAGCGAGAGATAAAGACTTTCAGTTTCTTCTGTAGGTTTTTGCCCTCGGGGTGATGCTCCTTTTTTCCACCTACATGTCTGTGTGAAAAAGCAGTTTTGCAAGGTGGTATCATACTTGCTATCAGTTCTTGAAAATTATATGCCACTCTAACTTAACCTGATGCATTTCTATGGAGAAGGCTGCCTGGAAGTATGAGTACCTGGCTAGTGACAGTGTATTTAATGCTCCTCCTGTACTCAGGAGGCTCTGTTCTCTGTGGATGGAAGACAAGTACTACACAGATGAGAGGCTGTTTCATCCTTCATAGTAACAGTATCAGCAGAGGTAGGTGTGCACTTTAATAGGATGAATTTAAAGACACGCTGTGTGTACGTGTTAGCATATTTTTAGAATTGGTAAAATATCCGAATATTTGCTTGCACTTGAACATTTTTCCTCTAAGCCCACACACAAATAAAATACCTGACATTTAGTTTTTCATTTTTTTTTTCCTGGCAGAGGTTAATCTTAGAGTGCAGACAGGAAGAACTGTCAGGAAACTGTTGTCAACCGTCCAGTAATTGTACACATGCAACACAAAAGTTCAAAGGTGTGTAACGAACTGGTATATTGAGGGTTAATGCCACAAAATGAGAGTTTTACTCTGCTTTCAGAGATGATGACCTTGTGGCACTTTAGCTTTAATGAGAATAAAGACGACACACACACACACACACACACACACACACACACACACACACACAC